TATTGGGCCCATTAAGGTAGGTCCACTGCTACCCTATTAAAGAACACAAAGTAACATTGTTTTCTTTATTTAAATGCAGCACAACACTCTAATCACACTGCTGTCATCTCTCTTTCTCTCTCTCTCCTTTCTTATGTCTCTCTGCCTTTCTCAGTCAGCCTGTCTGTGCCTGCCTCCAGCATACCTCAAGTTCCAGCCCACTGCTCCTAATAGTTTTCCCCTCTCTCCCCTCTCTCCCTTCCTCTGTTTCTCTGCTCTTCTGAGCTTCTTTCCTTCCTGTTGGTGTTTCTTTTTCTGCTCTTTTCTACAAACCTTCTCTCCTGGCTTCATTCAGCTCAGTTACATTAATACTTAAACACTACAGCTCTCTATAGCATTAAACTTGGCTGGAAGATAGAATGACTCTATGGCCACCCAAGCTTTAAACACACACACACACACACACACACACACACACACACACACACACACACACACACACACACACACACACACACACACACACACCTGTAGGCTCATTACTGGTTTGACCTCTGCCTATACAAACACATAGAGACAAGCTTGGACAGGCATACTGCTGTGGATATAGGGTTACACAAAAGCACATTTGTGCAGGACATTCTGACACACGGGAGTTTGTCCTCAGAGTGAGGAGATTATATGTGGAAATTAAGTAGTCTCACTGCTTCTTTGCATTGACAAGAAGTAGTTAAGGTAAATCTGGTCATGATTGATCCTTGTGTAGCACACTGACATAGAGGAGTCCATGGAGAAGGCTGTGGACAAGCCTTAACCTATATTAATCCGTGATTACTCTACCACTACTACATCTAATCCACCCTGAATATTGCTCTGTTGTTTGGCCTGCAGCTGACAGGAAGGATACACAAATGTGCAAAATTGAGCTTTACAGCACAGGTCAGCTGATCAGAAAAGGAAAAAAGTAAAGCCTGTGCTCACGCAGGTGTTCTGCAACTACAAGTGTGACATTTACAGTCAGAGGAAGAGTCTGATATTTTGGGAAATGCCTGTATTCTCTTTCTGGCAGAGAGTTAGATGAAAATAATTAACACAAATGGATACTTAATCAGTTCTTTAATCAGGCTTGTTTCTGTCACAAATCAAGCAATTTATCACCTGGAAACACCATTCATCACTTGTGGTGGTCTTGACAATTACAGTATAATGCCAGCATTAGCCAAGAATATCTCATGACTGCAGCTTCTTCAAAACTTTGCTGGTAGGATCTAACTGCTCCAAACACAGACCATCACAGAACAGCTGCTGTCTCCTTGTGTGCCCCCACAGATTTGTTTTATTTTAGCCTTTACTGATAGTGAATCTGGACAGCTAAAATGGAGAGAGGGGAGATATGTAACAAAGGTCAGCAGTTGGAATCAAACCTGTTACATTGCAACACGGTATGTATCTAATTAACAAATGGTAAATCTTTGAACCTTTTGAACCATATTGTTATCATTTTACACAAATATTGTTTAAAAAAGAATGTACCTTCAGTTCTTCGATATATTGTTGTAGCAAGATTAAAAATATTGTGTAAGTGTAACTGCAAATGTTTCACTGTAAAATGTAGACGATTTGCTAACAACTTTGTGTTTTCACAGTGCTAAAAGTGATGCCCCCCTAAGTTATGATGAGATCAGCGCCCTGATGAATTTACTTATATATTCTTTCTTAAGTCTGTTAGCAAACAGTCGGTCCCTGCAGGAAACTGTGGTGTGGCAAAAACAAGTTAATGCAAATTCAACTAATCCTTGTGAATTCTGTGCGACCTCACAAAATCGCATGCAAAACATTGAACCATACATTGTTGCAGCTCAGTCTGTTTCTCAGAGCTGAACAGCCACTCACTGACGGATGGAGCACGCAGGTATTTCCATGCAATTTGTGCCAGTGCTTGAAAGTGGAGCTGATTCATTCTCCAAAATCTGAGTTGGAAAAATGTATTTAGCCGTGGAAAACAGACATGAACATCGGCCACTGACATGATATAAACAAATATTGGCAAAAACCGAAGTTTGGTCGATATATAAGTGCATCCATGGGAGCTGGAGGTGGGCTGCTGAGGGGGCTGTAGCGACCCCTAAAATGAATACAATTATTTCCTAAAGATGTTTAGACCTTTTTTACTGGAATTTACAAGCGTATTCTGGTATATTTGCAAGAAATAGGTTTTGCCTTGTTTTTTATCTGCTAAAAAGTTTAACTGTAAAATGTTTTTAACAAATATTAGGTAGGCCATAAATTATTCTGCCCATTCAAACTTGATGCAAAAACCATAAATGTCATACAATAGCATTTAGTATGACAACATTATATAAACTCTTCTTCCCCAACTTCCAGCTTCCCTGGGTGCATCCCTGGCAAATGTAGCACTACCATATATATATATATATATAATATAAATAAATACATATAAATATATGGGACTAACGGATATCCTTTGAGATAATCATCCTGTTTTGGGGATATGAACTCCACCAGACCAGATCATCTGGAACTGGTTCCTTGCTCCCATTTGGAACTTTGTGTTATCATACCAGAGGAACACTTTTTACAGGAAGTTTGAGCTTTTTTCTTCTCTTTGCTTTTTAATAGTGTCTTTATTTCTTATTCTTGTTTTGTGTGTGTGTGTGTGTGTGTGTGTGTGTGTGTCAGTGCTTGCTTCTTACAAAATAGTTTCTTTTACAAAGCATTTTGAACTTGTCTCACTTTGTGAACTGTGCTCTATAAATAAAATGTAATTATAAGCCATATGTTGCTTTACGCCTGTGTTTTCTATTGTCTGTGTGTTTCAACCTTAAAAGTCATCATTTCTCTGAGTAGGCGTACCTTTAAGGCTGGGTCTAGCAGCTGGATCCCTCTCAATGTAAAACTCCCTCTGGTGGGTCACTGCTTATATCCCACTGCTCATACACGTGTACTGTTTTCTCCAGTCATGAAGCAGAAAGCAGCAGAGCTGGCAGCTCAGCCACCACAGAAAGGGAGAGCCTTGCATTATGGGAGCTGTTAGCGGCACAGGCCAGACTCTGACCAATCTGGCTGAAGCTCGACAATGTTTTAACTGGTTGTGTTGTTGACCTCAGCCATCTAAACCTATCCAACACCAGACCAGCCTCATGTAATTCTATGTTGCAGTAATCACACACACAGGGAAGTCTACTTTCAGTATTGTGGTTTTCCAACACACGTTTGAGTTTTAACTCTTAACTCTGTCTTTCTAGCTTTTTTCCTCCACCGAAACCAAAGGAGGCAAATGCACAGACACACACAGAGACACCCTTCATATTTCTGAATTTCCTTTTCCAGGATCACATAGATTTTACTCTCCTTCTCTGCTTTTTTCTTGTGCATTTTGAAAGAGCATGAAATATATATTCCCAATCCAGTCCACCCATCTCAGTGGAGACCTTATTGATGCAGTACAGCATTAGGTTTTCTTTAGACAACAGTTCTATGAAACTCATGTTGACTGAAACTGTGAACAATTCCAGTTAGAATCTTCTGAAACAGAGCTTGTCTCTTCATTGTAAGCAGAAAAAAACCCCAAAACATGATACCATTTTATTCACTACACAAGATAGCTACTGATCTCTCGACAGTGAGTTATATGAAAGTGCTGGAGGGTCATCACTGGCATTGAGAAGGCACTGACATACCTGTCTTTATAAGTCCTTGCTATGTAAGCGGCTGAGATATTTAACATCCTTAGTTTAGTTCAGGTCTAATAACCATGACACATGATCACACAATAATTTGACTTTACGACTTCATCACATCAACTCTGGACTGAGGAATGCTGGTTTTTCAATACTTTGTACCTTACTACTGGAATGAGAAATCTTTACTAGCATATATTTCTAATATTATTTGTGCTTGTTTTATTTTTAATTTGCGTGTGTGTGTGTGTGTGTGTGTGTGTGTGTGTGGTGTCTTTTTGAGTGAATTAATTTTCTTGTTTTCATATTGTGTATCAGTGATTTTTTTTCTCAGGTCTCTCTTGCAAATCAATAACATCTTGATCTCAATGTGATTTCCTGAATAAATAAAAGACGTGGTAGACATGCACACTCATACTGAGAGATTTCTATATATTTAAACACACATTAAGGCAAAGGAGGGGTCACAGGGGTGGTTAAGCCCCCAACAACCTGATTGGTCAGATTGTAGATTGGTTTATAATATCAGAGCTTCTTTATGAGGTGACTGTTAACATTTCTTGTTTGAAAGTCATTCAAATGACTACTATAACAACCACAAAGAGACACAAAACAAAAACAAAGAGATGTAAATGACTATGAGAGACACATTATTGCTACAGACAAAATAACTATAATGAATTGAAAAAAAAATACATACAAACAAACAAACACAAATGACTACAAAAAGACACAAAACAACTAAAAACAGATAACTGTCTCAGAATCTGTCCATGGCAGTAGGCAATTTGGAGTTACAAATAGCAGCTATTCATTGATGATTTTTCATAGTAGAATAATTGAAGTAATTTGTTTGCATTCATTAGTCAAACAGAATCATCAATATGTCTATTAATGATGTACACTTCATTGTTGCCAATAACCAGAGCTATAAATAGGAGTGTTAACAGATTGTTAGTCATTTCCCCAATATGCCCTCCTTCTTTAAAACGGTCAGCTCCCACCATGCAACAAGTATTCACACACGTTCCCTCTCCTCATGGTAAATAATATAGTGGTTAAAAGTTAATTTCAGGGTTTTCTGCAGTGATATGAGTGGATTTTATTGATCCCTGCAGATCAAACAGGGAAGCTGGGTCTCAAAGCTGTATGTGACAAACTCTCCATGGAGCAGACAGCAGTCTGAAGCAGGAATAGTGTGTCTCATCCCACTGATGGATGGTTTGCTGAAGCATCCTAGTGCCACCTGGTGGTCATGTTAAGGGTTACCATACATGTCCAGAATTTTTTTTTTACTTTTAACCCCAAGAACTCAAACAATTCTGGAATGATGAATGATTTATTGTTCAGTAGACAAACAGGCAAGCAAATGTTGATAATCTGTCTGTATAAATGGATCCATGCACATCACATTTCACAAGATCACAATTAAAATTTGAAAGTTGAATGTCTAATAGCATGCTTCATTCTAATATTTTTTTCCATGGAACATTTACAGATTCATAAAACATCCTAACATCAGAGTTTCTGAACACACCGTTCAGAGATTCTGATCTACTCTTTCAGCTTTGATGACTGTGTGAGTTTATCTTACATTCTTTTAACAGAGAGGATAGCTTAAAGTTAACAAAATGCAACCAACAGACTACAGAGTTCCAGCTTAATGTGCTTTTATTGCTGACGTCACACACAGAGATTAAACTGGTCTGCTTCCAGATAGGAGCAGGAAACTACATGGATTAAAAAGGAAATGGATACAGTGCTTCCAAATGACTGTAACCACTGCTTATGTCTCACTGATGGTTCACTAGTTTCTTTATCATCTTAATTATAATGGATAGACAGACAACACACAGCTAGACTAAGAATGTACTTTTTTTTGTAACAGGAAACACTTCTGACCAAAACAATGAGCTAAAAGGCTCTGTAGAGCTGAGAGAAACTGTAGCGTAGGCTGATTTTCATCATAATCATATCAAGAGGAAGAATCCAGTCTGCAATCTTCTGCATACTGTCTGTATCTTTGACAAACCTATCACCATCTTTGATAGAACCATATTTTTGTACTTAATTCCAGTGACATTTAACATGAAAGTTAAAACGTTAACTTGATATTGAATATTATGTGACAACTTGTGCTGTCAAACTAAATAGCTAGTAAAAGTACTTAATCAGGAATGTTTCTGTAAATTACAAAACTAAGTTAGTGTCACTTAAGATGACTAATAAAATTAAATCAAGAATCTTTTTTAACTTAAAAAGTTGAGTTTGTGTTACTTAAAATGCATATATAACTAAGAAAGGACTGACTTTGTTGAGAAATATTTCAGTAATGACAGAATTGAAACATGAGCCAGGGAGGAAGAAGAGGACTTCTTTTGAACACAATATTTATGAGGAAGGCTTCTTGTAACAGAGGAAGAACCTTTTCTGCATGCAGTCCCTTATATCCAAGCTGCCGTTCTTCCTCAGGATGCCACAGAACCTCTGAGTCGGGCAGCTGTTAATATTCTTGGGTGGCCCTGGTTCTCCACCCACCCACACCCACTGACCAGCCAGGTAGCGGAGGCCCGTCCACACCTACCAACATTAGCACAGAGCTGTAAACACAGAGGAGTTGCTCAGTAACACAAACAAACTGTAGAAAACTGCCCTACCTCATGTGGAGCCTCTTGTGCTGTCTCTTGTGCAAAGGTGAGGTCATCTACAGTGAGCAGGGTGGCGAGGTCATAGCGGTGGTTCTGGTAATCAGTGGCTGGCTTACTTTGGTCCACTGCCTCCAGGGTCCTGCAGTGCATTAATGCATCCTCCCACGTCTTATTCTCCTTCACCAGAACCAGATTCTCCTCATAACACATGAATGTATGGCCAATGTCACATCTATCGCTGTACCATTCTCTTCGACTCCCATATTTAAAAGCACAGTTTTTACCATCCTTTGGGTGATCTGTAAGAAGCAGGAGAAGTGAGGGGACTGAATTAACAATACAAATATCTACTTCACTTAGTTGACTATGTCTGTAGGTAATCAGCTCATCCTAAGGAAACAAAAACACAGCAACTCCTATATTAAGGAGATAATACACTAAAGAAAACATACCTAGGAACATTGTATTCCATTCCTGACAATAGATGCTCCTAAATGTTACACTGCAAAAAAATAAAGCATATAGAACTATACAAGTAACTCTAATCCAGTCTATTCTTGCTTGCCAAAATTGTCACTGCCACATTTTGTGCAGGAAAGCAGTGAAATAAGTTGACAGCGTGCTGATGTGTTTTCTGTGGGCCATAATCAAATAAAATACAATCATGATCGCTGAGGCAAATGACCTGTTACTTGTATAAATGTAATTTTTAGCAGACGAGGCTGGCTGAGGACAGCGGTGAAATAAAGTCTGACTTTTCTAAATTAAAATAATAATTTATGATATAATATCTATTGTGTATAGAAAAGAAAAACGGCACACATATTAACATTGTATGATCAAATTAATCAGAACAAAATCATCTTAAAGTTACTGTACCATAAGCCTGAGAGCATTGATCTTCCCTACTCTGTTACATTATAGCTCTGCTTACCATTTTGCCCAGGGGAAGTAGGTGGCTATCTCATCTCCTCTGGACCATTTCCAGTCAGAGTTTGTATTCTCTCGGTATAAACCGATCCAGCCATGGACATTCTCTGTTTCCTTTCTGATGGTGACCAGGTCTGTGTGATGCTCCCTGCAGTACGACTGTGCCTGTGTCCAGGTCACTATCATTTGGTGATGTTCAAAAGTAGGTCTAAGGCGTGAAACCTGCCCACACACAGGAGGAAGGAGGAGCAGCAGGGGGACTAGAATGCAGATTTCCCTCCTCATGTTTTCCACCAGATACCTGATTGAGCAGATTGAGCACTGAACAAGATTGAAAAGGTGCTGATTTCATCAGGGCTTATAAACGCTAACTGAAGTGAACAGTAATTCTTACTGTAGGGCACACAAAAGCCTGTTTTTGCTGGAACAACTTTGTACCAAAGAAATAGTCCCTAAAGAAAGCATTCATATCAATCAACATTGGAGGGAGGTAGGACAGATTCTTGCACAGGTCCAGTTTTACAACCCTTCACCCACCCGCACCTACAGAGTTCAGAACCGGAACAACCATATTTCATATAATGGTATATATATTCGTCATATTTTGAAGTGTAAGATGTAGAAACAAATGAATTAAAATCCTAATCAACCATTGTCTGTTTGGCTGAATCAATCACCAACTGTTGCTACTATGCTGCTGTTGCATCCACACAGCCAGCTGGGCTCCAGTGTCAATCAAGCCCTGTGCTCCTCCTCAGAGACATACAGCTGCAAACACCTGGCGGGTGATTTGGCGATGACCGTTTTTGCCAGTGGATACCTGACCCGGTGCAGGACTCTGGGGTAGGATGTATGTACAGGCTACAGTATTTGTTTAGTGAATTGCACATTTAGAAAAATTTCCAAGTATAAAAGTCCTGTGAAATAAAACATATAATATTAATCATCTGTTTCCTCATGTGTCATTTCCCTTCAGATTTAAGCATTTTATTGTTTAAATCAGTGGTGGTCAAGCCTAGGCTAAGTGCTTCCCTTGCCATACCAGTGTCATTGCCTAGCTCTACTTACCTTGGCAGCTTTGTTCCTACAGCAGCACTCACCTTGGACGACGGCAGCAGGGTGGCCAGCTTTCAATCGCTGGGTTTTCAGGTACTGAAGTCTGAAATACTCATGGGCAACCAATCACAGCTCAGATAGACTCTGACTAGACCAACAGCTAATATGCAGAGTAATCGTGCCAGCTATGACATTCACAAGGTAACAAGACACCCACCCACCCTGTCGGTCTTTGTCTCTTCCTGTCTCTCTTCATCTTCGTGTCATCTTCCTTTTTTTGCAAATTCCTGCCGCAGCAATGCAAAGCACAGCTTAACATCTTGGTGTTTGTTTCTTTGCAGCAGGTATACCCTTACACTGTGCCACAGCACATTGGCCAACAGTGGGGAAGCAGATCTGCCAAAAAAATGGGTTAAAAGAAAGGAGCTTTACCAGAGAAATGTAATAAATTCCTTATTTCCAATTACACTGTAAAGAAATAGTAAATGTAACCCACGTAGACTTAACAGAATACTCAAATATATTTAGGACCAGTGTCTAGGTTCATAGGAGGGGTTGAAAGAGAATGACACAATAAGCAACTGGAGCCACAGGATACTAAATGTGATGATGAAATGATGAAATGGGAATGTATTGAAATTTATATAATGAAAAAGTAACAAACAAAAAGTCCCTTTCTAAACAACCAATCTAGTTTCACAGTGTTTTAGAGTACAGCTTAACATAAAACGCCTCAGAATGGTGACAGTCAACGAAGTTCAGAACAACAAAAGAAAATGTCTCTAGAATGAAATAGAGTTCAGGATTAATAGAGTTCAGGATTCCTTTGATCCAGTTTGTTTCTTAGTTGTCTCTGTTCAGCTAGTTTTGGTCAGATATTCAATTTCAGTTTCAAAGTGTTTTAGGTCTGTCAAAAGTCATATGGTAAGGTGTGAAGATGTCACAGTCCTACCACGCTGAGGTATACTCAAGGGATAGGGAGTGAAGGCCGGGCTGTCTCCTGCTCTGGGCAAAAGGTGGCCCTTTTCCAACTCCTTGGAATAAGGAGGGGATCTGGTTCAGTACTGGCTCGCCATCTCCTTCGTCAAGGAGAATCCAAAATCCAAATCCAAGGGTTATCTCCAGGGACTCGAAACCTAGCCTGTATGAAAATAGGGGCTATTACTATATTGAGTCATGAAATCCCAGTCCGCTATGGCCATGAATGAAACCACCAATAGTAATTAAATGAATGAAGTATTTCTCACTGTACAGCATTTATCATATGGAGTATTTTATCATTTTTACACCATCCATGAACAAATTTTAACTTTTTTAACCATGAATTATGATTATTTAACACTTTAACCATCAAGTTAACATGTGACCCTTTAAACTATCAAATTCACACATTACCTCTTTAAATCATGAAATACACACATTGCCTTTTTGAATCATGAAATGAGTACAGCACATCAGTTATTTTATACAGCTCACATTCTCTTACAAGGTTCTAGCTGAAGTGCACATATCCAGTAGTCTTCTTAATATGAGCACTAGCAGTGCATAACTGGGTAGCCACACTTCAAAAAAGTAATCTTATACACCATCAAAGTAAAAGACTGGTACAGCTGATAACTTTAATATTTTCTAGCAGAAATATACTGCTTCAAGTTAACATATTAGCAATGAGAAAAGAATAAAAACTTGCTGCGGTGCTATGTGTGACTGACAGCTTTATCTAGCTGCATTAGCAAAACTCAGCTTAAGTCACAAAGACTCTGCCAGAAGCACTCCTGTGTAACATTATGGAGGATCTATTGTCAGAAATGATAGAGAATAATGTTATATGTTAGTTGGTGAGTTGTAGGTTGGACTGCAAGAATAACTCTTTCTGCTTATGTTATGCAAAGTATACTTGAATATGCATGTGTAATGCAAACTACAGGTAGGAGCCTGCCTCAATACATTCCTGCGGAAAGATGATGCAAGACGGCCCTTCTCCTCTGCATCGGCGAACAAAAGAAGAAAATCCAAAGGTTCTTCGTTTTTGTGGACCAGAAAGCGATCCCATGCAATGCTCAGACTTTGGTGGCTGCTTTTGATGTGCTGTTTAAAGCTCACTATGTCTTCAGCCTGTCTTATGATGAAGCTCTGTCCAGTTTCTACACTTTCGTTCAAACAGCGGTGTACAACGACCGACCGATGTTGGAAACGCAAAGGAAAGCCCACAAGTCAAGGAACTTAGAGCAGTACTACTGCAGCAGCATTAAAATGCCACAAGTTCACAAATGTCAGAGCACAGTTAAAATGTATGTCTGAAGGTGCCCGGTTAGCTCAGTGGGTAGAGCTGGCGACCCTTGTACCGAGGCTGAGTCAATTGCTGCAGCGGCCCATGGTTCAAATCCGACCTGCGGCCCTTTGCTGCGTGTCATCCCCTCTGTCTGTCTTCAGCTGTCACTATCGATTAAAGGCAATAAAAGTCCTAAGATTAATAATTAATGTCTGAGTAATATGCTGTTTGTAAAATGCACCACTAAAATTGTTCAGTTCTTTGTCAACATTTAAAATTCCATCATGGTTTGCATTCTGCAAAAAAAAGCACGCTTTAGATGTGGAAAGCAAGGATGTCCATCTTTTTGTACGTACAACGGCTTCAAAAAGCATCTTAACTGTACACAGACATCACCATGCTGAGCAGCTGACTACTAACCAGGAGGGTGCTGCACAAGTACATTTTTTAAGATGTAATTTTCAAGCGATCAGCCAATGACTTCTGCGTCCATGTTTCAGGTTCCCCCAGTTATCACATAGAATTTAATTGATAGAATGTGTGGATCAGTTGTTGCACACTCGTTCTTTCTGAAAGCACTGTGAAAACAATAGTCTATGGAGAAGGTTGTCAATGATGTTCAAAGTCAAGCATGAGAAGCAGTTCTCCAAATGTTTTCTCCTGAAACTAAACCTTCAGACATTAGACAATAGAGCACAGTTTAAATCAACTGGATACTCTTTTTTTTAATATTAAACAGAGATAAATAGACAAAAATGTTATGATGAAAAATGGGAAATAGTTGGGCATAAAGACTTTGTCTTTGTGTTTATGTGATTTGCATTGATCAGCTCACTTATTTTAGATCCTTTGATAAGCAATAGCCTAATGAGAGTGAGAGAGCATACATTGTTCTGTAACCAAGTAGATAGTTTATCTCTATCAGTTTAATTTTATTCTCATTCTTACTTTCTGTTCGCTATAAAATGTGTCAGTCAAAGTATGGTTGCTTAGCCTCGGTTCTTATTGGCTGTATCAGTCAATACAGACATCTGATTGGAGAGGGGAATTAACTCCCACCCCTCCAGGTTGAAGCTCGGCAGCGCAGTCAAAGCAAAATTATGTCTGTAACCCACGTGTAGTTAACAGAATACTCAAATAAATGTAGTGTCTAGGTTCACAGGTCCGTCTACAGGTAGCTGTACAGCTAGACAGAATTAATTATTTGTCTAGCTGTAAACATACAGCCTTTTAGCGCATCCCACACATATTCTGTCTTTAAAATCTACCACCCTGACTACAGAATCACACCTGCATTCAAATACCTGCATGGCTCAGTGATAGGCAAAAAGA